ATTAAAGTTACGTTAGTTAGAACGTGCCCACGTGATTACACATTGCTTAATTATATATCTTTAATTTGCTCACTATCATTGGCATAATATTTATAAAGCGAATTTCTCAATCCTTACTAAGGGACACAAATTGATTGACGCTCCTGTTGACTGTTTAAATCACAGTAAATTCTCCAGTAATCAGACATGAATGGACAGACTTATCTTCACGAAATAAGCAGTTGTGTGCGACTAATTGCATGTTTCATTTAGTATATATTAAAACTATATTATTTAATTCGTTTGAATTGGTAGCGTGTTATTAGTACAACTCATATGATGACGATCAGTTATTGATGAGAAATATGTCGGAATGGGGCGTTACGATTTTGAACTATTTTTGTGAATATATCGATTTTTATCTCCGGCTAGATATTTCCTTTGAGTTTAACTCTGGGTCAATGTGTAAAGTAGGATAGGTCTGAAGGAGAGAAGTTTTATAATTCTATTTTTAAATCAACGTTTCGTCGTCTCATGAAATGATCGTATTTCTCTAAAGCCTTAGCAGAGGTAATAGAATATAAATACAACCCAGCTTGTAGGTATTGGAGGTAGGTTTCTATATTGCAGCTAATTGAGTCACCGTACTCGTGTAAAATTTTAATCTAGGCTCTCCAGCCCCTTATAGCGCAAGTATAAAAATGAAATAATATACACATATATCACACAACCATGCACATAAGCATACAGTGATATGCAAGCCGAATATAACAATCGGTCAATTGGAGTGGAATAATTATGTCAGGCACATGTAGGGATAAAGAAGCACAATATTGTCTGTACAACAACTGTCAATGTCATGTAATTAAAACGGTTGCACTTGTTTTTCAACCACAGATCTTATTATCCTGCAATGCAAATATGATGCGATTTAAAGCAACACTAAATTATAGATAATGAGAATCATATATTGTGAACATGATTCGCAGTATACAAAATACACTACAACATAAACACATTATCTAAATGGAAAATACTCAAGCACACCAACAATCACAGCATAACCATTTGCTAGGAATACATTCCATTGAGGCAAATATATATGCTATATTTAAAAATATTAACAAAATAACATAATTTGTATTTCGCTATGTTATGTGAAGGGCAAAGTTACAAACATTTGATATGTCTAACTTACATGACGTTCACCAACATGTCGTATATTTTGAGTAATAATCAATTTAAATTCAGAAACAATCTATGTATATCTATATATATAGTGTATTAGTGCATATTATATAGTTACACCATGATGATGATGAGAGTAGCGCCACCAAGTCGATCGAAAAGAACCAGCGTGTTGTTCAAATAAACTCGCCCTCAATGACCCCAGCTCACTAAATATATTTGCTTATCATGTACAATTTTTAGTCGATCACATACACGACTCTAGCAGTGGGGGTCAAATGGCGAACTTCCGTACACAGTGATAAGCATAACAACGTGATTACACGGCATTTGAAATTACTGCACTCAATAATATTAGTGAATGCACTACATATAATACATTCTTACTCGGCTTACAACATTCGTTTAATCCGTATGTGCACCTGTTGAACTTAGCTTAAAAGCTAAATCTATAGAATGTCAATAGAGTAGACAGAATGTTAAAAATACATTAAGTACTGACAAGCCAAATGCTGCAAGGTATGTCCCGAATGTATTTCTGTACATGTAGTGCACTTTGAACCCAGCAGCTATCAAAGCCTAATATTATATGTGAACACATTAATTATCAATCCGGTTTTCACGTTTTTCCTCGTAAGGGCGTGTTGGCTATTCCTTCTCTTGACTACCTCCCTATTTAGATGAAGCATATACATGGCACCAACGGTCTGAGTCGCATAAACGCCACTTAAATTTGGATTTTAAGGTATTGTGTGATATCAACAGAATTGCTGTTGCTCGAACAGTAACTGCATTCATTATGTGTAAACAGTATCGTTATAGGCGATTGTTCCCAAATATGTCCAGGCACGTAGACCAATGTATTCATGGGTATTTATGTGTATTTTTTAGTTTTTTAAATTAAACATAATTTAGTTTAGAGAGCCTTAACATATTGTTATGAGTTGCATCATATCACAGCTGTAATCACCACATCTGATATAATTATTTGACAAACCGAGTAATTATATCATTTGCAATTTATTCATTTCTATATCGTATTTACTAGAGTAATTGGTGATATTCAGCTGTCATCTCGGCAATTCAATGTCTGTTGTGATTTGAAAGATCCACACGATCCACTCCTACTCTGTCTGTTATATGAGATGTTTCTCCGTATAGACATGGTGTTTAGCAGTATTTCATGGCTTGACAAAAATGGTAATAGCTACAACCATAAGTAGCACCACGAATAGTATGTTTATTATGATAGATGCACAAATACAACACTCACAGAGATAATGATGAGAAGCAATATTGGTGCTGTTTTGAGTGTGTGAGTGTCTATACACATACTTGCGAATAGGAAATATTAGTCATAAGTGGTCAAAGTACAGTCGGGTCAATAACCTGCAAGTTTATATTGACAATTTTACATTGAACAATATGAAGGAAACATATGTGCAGCGTTTATTGTATGGCGGTAATAACGCCGTTGCCTTGTACAACGTATTGATGTCATACATGTATCTCACGTATTATGCCTGTACATACTTATTCGTCATAATATCTTATATATGATACGATCATATTGGAGATTATTATGTAAATACCGCGTTCCATGCCCTTATCAATGAGAAAGATATATGAATATGAATTTTATGACTTTGAATGTTAGTTCTATATATAGCACGCATTGTCTTACCTGATGAAATAAAGCCAGACATTAGAATACCACTAATGAACACCATGCCCAGTTTCACACCCCCCCCCCAATTCGCTGTTGCTGTCACAAACAGATTAGTCCAACAAGTTAAGCTAGTAGTTACCAAATAAATGAAGACACCTGATAATCACTGAACATGAACTGTGATCATGTGGTGAGATATAGACAACATTTTTGCCATACAGTTTGTGAATGTCCATTCTTAATTTACAGCAAAGCATATTCACCAAGAGCATGCACATCTATTTTTCGCCAATACGAAAAAGAGTGTCCAAAAATGTAAATTACACAGTTAACCTAAAACATTTAAATTTCTCCTAACATCATTAATTGTTACCATGAAGAGCGCCACCATCTCAAATAATGTATAAGAAGAATATCTCTCAGTCTTCAGGTATCAATTGACCTTTTTCGAGTCAGTAAGTTTCATGTAGATAACAATGATGATAATGGATGAGAGAAACTAGACATCTCATAGCAAAGTTGTATGAAATTTGAAATATGAAGGTTTTGTTTTAAAAATATCCGACAGATGGCAAATGACAAGAACATTTAACATACATATACATTAACAATGATGTACATATCCTTTGTGTTTAAACATATTTTGATTTTTAACAATAGCGAGTTTACTTAACGAGCTTAAATACAAGCGTATACATCATGTCAAAACATTGTCGTCAGCGGTGATACATATGTAGCGCCACCAATCAATATACAAAAGACGGTTGGTATAAACAACAAGCAGACGGTGCATTGTTCAAATAAACACCACCCTATTGACCCCTGATATTATAGTACAGCTTTTTTGCTAATCATATTAGTTTCCAATTTAATAGTTCAGCGACCCATGTCATGTCGTTTAGTTCATTACATGCAACCGTCAGATCGCAATTTCGAATCAATTAAAAATAATCAATAATTCCAACTAATGAATGCAGTATAATATCCTCTTCTTAGTTGTTGGTAGGTATGCAATTTCAACCATGTTTATATTACTATGGTTCTATCGCTATTTAATTTGAACTTTAGTTCAAACGTCCTTCAATAAAGATTAACAGCCACATCTAAATACTTCTTTTTTGTCAGGATTATACTTGATTCGAGGGTTATATAACGCAGATCAAATTAAAAATTAATTGTTGCTACATACAATGTGACAACATCTCATACAAAATAAACGTCCGTGTTTTTATAAAGTTTATCTTTCACCATATTTTGAGTTAGAGTGGTTTCATGACCAATCACAGAACAAAACATTAACAACATAACCTTTATTTTATTAGTTGGCGTGTCATTTAAGTGGGTGTACAGGATATTTATATATAACAATCAATATCGGCCATTTTATTATCGGTACTTCATTTGGACTTCAGTCTAAAGGCGTTTACTGCACTGTACTGTAAAATTGTAAGTTGACACCACTCAAAAAGAAAAGAAAACATATCAACACTTACCGTTGGGGGAAAAGAGGACAGTTTACAAAAAAATTCCATGATTAAAGTGGCTTGTATTGTATCTCAATACACACTGCTTTATTTTAAATATTATTTTATGATATATATCATGCAACAGCGTATTAAGTGTTTAACCTATGTAACCTCTAAGTAGAATAGATTTGATTAATTATTTTGATTATTAATAGATTTAATAATAGATTTGATTAATTATTAACTACACAAAATCATCATATCAAGCCAGCAATAAGTACACATGAGCTTGATTGATTTTTTTGTAAAAAAGTAATACACCGACTTGTTCACATCCGTATCTTTGAAAACATATGTGAATGTATGTGACAAAAACAAATAATACAGTCAGCAATGTTTCACTCATAATTATCTCCGCCAAAGATGTTGTGTTTTTTCCTGCATACATATACTTAATTGTCGCACAATTATCGTTCGTTTTTAATCACACAGTATCAGTATCCAGCCTGTAACGTGATATTTATAGCAATCATATGACATTTAAATACAGCACAGTTGTAGCCATAAAAATGCAGTTGGAAATATCGTATTTGTATTTGAAGAAGCTCTAGTTACGGTAAAGATTCTCCACTACTGAATATTTTTTTGTTAAAACGTGTCCTGCTCTACTATACACGTAAATATCAATTTTTGCTCACATCCGAGGATCTTCATAGATATGCATATAACCTGTCATCTAAAAAAAAAATAAATAAAAGGTTATTGAATAATAAATATGAGTATATGAAATATTATAAAAGATGACTGAACATATTGAAAAATACCTCATCACCATCTAAAACGGCTTGCAATATCTTTGTCAACTTCTGAAACGATGGTCTCCGTTCTGGATTATCTGACCAACAGAGCTCCATTGTTGAAAACCTGTATAGTTCATTACAACACAGTGTGACACAGTATATAGTGCAATACAAATTCTAAATCAATAAATAAATCACCTGGAGTGCGTATTTATCAGTTAAAATCAAATTGAAACTCATGGTAGTAAAGTAATTTCATGAATTATTTATTTAGCAATATCAGCCAACACACTCACAGGTCTTGGTGACATGTATTTGGTTTTGGCATTCGATATCCGTCCTGCACAGATTCGATGACTTCCTGTGTTGACATATCGTTATATGGCACATCACCTGTATGACAATAAATAAATGACTAAAATTGACTTCATTAAACATTATGATTATTTTCAATACCTTTGTCATTACAATGTCAAGTAATACTCATACAATAACCAGCATAATTAAACAGATATGAATGTATATAAGGTGTTTACCATAATAACTACGACGAAACTTATAATAGTAATTTTGCTAATATTTTCAATTGAATCACAGTGTGTCCAGTCTTTTTGATATTATAATAATCTACTTTGTTCATTATATAATATATTATATAAACTATGTCTACCTAGTGTTTCTATCTCCCACAAAACAATACCATATGACCATACATCGCTTTTATTGGTGTACACGCCATCCAATATAGACTCCGGTGCCATCCAGCGAACTGGTAAACGTCCCTGAAACAATATCGAATATATATATTTATTATCATTGCATCAATTAAGCTTTGGCAAGAGTCAGCAATACAATTCTTTATTTTATAGATTGTAGTAATCATACTAACTTGAGTTCTTTTCTCATACTCGCGTTGATCCAGGACGTCAGTAGCCAATCCAAATCCAGATAATTTGCATACTAGTTTCTCATTCAGTAGTACATTGCGAGCAGCCAAGTCTCGATGAACGCACTGAAAAAATTAACGTGACGAGCAAATGTATAACAAATACAATATATTGTAACAAGTGGCGGTTAACTGTATATAATGTGAACAGATATGCTATTACAACTCACTCCTTTTCCTTCAATGAATTCCATAGCATGAGATATTTGATGTGAAAAACCAATACAATTGTGTTGAGACAGCATTGTCACACGGTCTCTTAGATTAGTATATGTATTTTCCTCATTACTTTTTTCTCTACGAAGATACGTTTGCAGGTCGCCAAGAGCCATGTATTCAAGAACAACAAACGCCGGACCTAGAAAGACAATAGTTTTCGACAAAAGTACGAACAAAGTGGCAAAAAATCACATAACATGCGGATACTCGAAATATGATAATTATTCAAAACACAACCTAAACGCAATTCAATGAGATCCACGTTATGAATACCGTATTGCATACCGTCTTGCGTGCAACATCCAATCAACGTCACGACGTTTGTGTGTGACGTGATTGATTTAAGTAACTCCAATTCCTTGAGTATTGACTTGTGGTACTCATCAGTAAGCCCATCTGCAATGCAGTAGAAATAGTTACAGTCACTAAACACATGAAAACATTGCTCATACACTATTGTGTCTACGAAAATAACCTACCACGTTTTCTGCTGTAAAACTGTGTGATAATACATATCACAATTGTTGTCATTTATGTCAAAAGAAACTGGGCCAAATTTGTATATGTGGTCATAACAAAAATATATGTGATCAAATGGATCTTGTACAACATCTGGTGGTATATGTCATAGGAAAAAATAATGCTTGTATACATTAGAGTACATAATATCTACCTTTCAACATTTTTACAGCTACAGTTGAGTGCGGATTTTGTGATTCTATACTTGCTGTCGCTTTCACCACTTTTCCAAAATATCCTTCTGCAATGGTTTTCCCAAGACGAATTGATTCCCTTGGAATTTCCCATGGTACCTCGCCATGCTTCAAGTATACGTGATCTAGATTTACAGACATGCGCAGATCTTCATAGTCGGTGGTATGCGCAGGCTTCTGAAAGTGATTAAACAAATACAACAACCACATTTGTTGGTACTTCGCCATTTTCAGAAAATTTAGAATATCCAATACTGAGTAAAGATGTTAAATAATTGTGTGACAATAAACCTAAAAATATTCACCTCTGCTTGTACATATCGTCGTAAATATACTATGTACACCAATAATAGTATAATACAAGTAAATAGAAGAATAATTACTATAATTAATGCAATAATCACTCCGTTTGTAGAACTATTATCTTCTGGTGAATCTGAAATAGAAATATATTTACAATTCATATATATTTTCAAAATCTGTTGTTTACTATAATTGACATGTCAAATTATCTGATCACCGGGTTACACAAAGCAAGATGGCTTGATTTGTTATAAAATAGTATTACTGCTACACTACTTACACTGAAGTACGTTTACTGCTATTTCATCACTGGTACTTTTGCCGATCGTACCGTCGTGAAAACGTGTTGTTGCATAACATGTGTAAGTTCCACTGTGTTCTTCACTAATTGATGTAATGATATATAGTATATGTAAGTCATATTTTACTTCTGCCACGACATTGTCATTGTCATTGTCATCTGTGTGGTTTATATACATTTCATAAGGACGAGGATTCGCATCAGTTGTTGCACAGAGTAAAATGACGTCACTGCCTTCATAGACATTTGTTGAACCAGCAAATGAAATATTGGCCGGATCTAGTGGAAAAACGGTGTAAGAACAAAAACATTATTGATATCACTGCCAAATTTATTAAGTTTTACCAACCGTGGAAATTAAGATTAATTTTTAATATTATTTTTAAAATGGATCACTTACACTGTACATTAATATACATAGAATCCATGTCTGATGCAGTTGATTCATCCCAAAATACAGTTTCCGCAAAACACGTGTATGTGCCACTGTCAGTACGTGATATGTTTTCTATCTCCAGTATTGGTCCAGGAGAAAAGGAACCGTCTGAATGTATCCATATTCCTTCCACCACAGGATTTGAATCTACCAAACACTCAGCAATGTATGTATCTCCCTCTATTACGGTTACATAAGTTTGATTCCCTATATTAACAGTTGGCGAATCTAAGAAATATAATTTTAAATATAATTTAATTTGGACATGAAACGTTATTGCGGTGTTGGTTTTCTTTATTAATATATGTAACTTCATTTAGTGAATGTACTGTAACTTACTCCATATTTATATACCCCAAGAATATTTATATGCTGGTTACTATTTATTTAATGTTGAAATCAAATGTTCGAATCACCGCCAAAAATTGCAATCATGTCGCAATTTGTTCATCACACTAACGTTATAAAAAAGGAAGCTAGAACAAGTTAAAATAAAATTCGCTCGCTCACACTGTACGTTGATGTACATTGTGCTAACACCAACTCCTTCAGAACCATCCCAAAATGTATTTATAGCATGACACGTGTAATTCCAGAGAACTCCTGGGAAACGAGTCAGCAAGTATGCTCTGTTCATTACTGATAACATTCTGATTTTGGTTAAACCATAAAAACGTCTCTACATCCGGGTTAGCCTCTAAAACGAAGCATGTCATGACAAATGAATCACCCTCTATTTCATTTCCGGATTCATCGACATCGCCAGTTACACTTATTTCAAGAATAGGGTCGACTGAAATAAACAAAAACTTATGTAAATCTAAAATAAAATTAGAATGATCACCTAGTGTGGATGATATTGAAATGGGTGCATGTTTACGTAATAAATTAATTTGTCAAAATGTCACCAGGAACTTAATATACCAAAATGTTTGTGCGTTTTTTTTCTCGTTTGAACGTGACTATGGTAAAAATAAAATGATGTGTTATTTGTATTTAAAAGATTGACGGAAGCCCATCTAAACTGGTAGCACCAGTTACAATACAAAATCTAGTGGTCGAGTTTTTCTTCGATTGTTCAATGAAATGTTGATGCTGATAGCAAATTGCGGCGTTATGAAATTGATGTATGCGTTATACGGTTATATGTTTTTTTCCAATATGTCTGGCGGTGTCACAAGTTGTATTGATTGTCAAAACGACATTAATATATGTATGTATACTTTACACAATTTACATTGAACATCCATGACTATCTTATCTTCACATGATACTTGTGACCACTTAGGACGAGGTAGAGTATAATGTTCTAGTTGACAATCAAACACATCACCGTTATTGTCCTTATACAGAAATGTCGTCCATGTATTTTCGATTCCAGTCTTTCTCATAACTTCAACACCATTCTGATACCATACTAAATCACCAGGTGCACTAGCATCCAAGTCCATGGTGCAATTCAGAGTGACGGTGTTCTCAGTTATTACGGTTGCACCAGGATAAACTTTGCATTGTGGGCGACTGTCTGTGAGGCAAATAATGTCAATAAGTATTATTGTCAGATAACATAATTACTATCCAATATCGAAATCAAAAGTGACAATTTATGAGTAGAAATTAGTTCATACTGAATCATATGTAGACAATATGATGATAACAATTTGTCCGTTAGAATTATAAACCCAGTTATAAGTGTTATAACCTATACTTATTTCCCTATTTCCTTGAGTGGTTATATAGTATGCATTAGAAATAAGTAGACTTGAATGCATGTAGTTGTCGAAGTGAATGCATTTCCATTCCTTCTACCATACCCACCCAACAACACAAATGATGTGACATTTTATCATATTAAATATTTTCAATATCCCGGATAATGTGTGCACTGGTAGGCAACAACGTGATCGAAAATCAGACAAACATAAACAAATATGTATAATTCAGTGTGATTTATTTGAAAAGCCATGGGATAGTGTGACAATTGACGTAAAATATTCAAGCTCAGTGGTAGAAAACGTTTTCAGGCATAGTCGGGATAGTATGTTTCTCTGGAATACTCACTAAATAGACATATGACGCGACTCATAATATATTAAGCGTCACTGAGGGTCATTGATGGATATTAAGCGTTATTTAAACATATATTATTCATACATTCGTGTTGCGTTAAAATCCAAATCCTGGTTACTGACTCACTAATAACTGTCCCAACCTCCTTGGTTGCCATTAACATCATTTCAGTGACGACATATATTGTCTGTTTGGATGAAGATACTTACCTATAACATACATGAATGCATACACCCTTAAATCTGCAAATAATTTGTCACCACAGCCGTATTCACCCTCTTGTGCCAGTGCAATATTATAAATACGCAGATTATATGCATTCTCTGTGCCTGTTATATTGTATTCGTTGAGCGGTGTCAGCACATCACGGTCTTCGGATATCAAATTTGCGTCATAGTACCACACAACTACATCGGGTACTTCGCCTTCTTCAAAGCTGCAGTTCAGTTGAGTATTATCATTGAGAATAACAAGCGTGTCAGTCGGCGTCTCTTCAAATACAATACTGTACGTGCCATTAATCTGTGACAATACTTTTAAAACAAAGTTATTTGCCGAACGATCTGAAACATATTACCGTGAATAATTTCACATGCATTTTGTGAACTATGTCAAACGTACAAAATACATACGAAAAATGCTAGTCTAATATGATCAACATACATACATACGGTGTTCATTCCACAGTGGCGACGTTTAGTGTGAAATATTACTAAATATTAGTGTACGCTAAGGGTTATGATATTCTCTCTAAACTAAATCGGACGCTGCGTGATCAAACAATACGTGAAGAAAAGCACATTTTGCGACGAACATTTTTCATAATACATCACAGGAGCAATGACAATAAATCATAATATTGACGTATGAAAGTTTATTTTGCAAAAATCTCTCTGAAAATGCGTGTTTCAAAAACCATCTGTGGCCGTAACTGACGTCACGATTAATTAGCCTAAATTATCATATGATTCGTAAATGCAGTCCCGTATAGGGTAATATAACAATATCAGAGAACCGAATTTCAACCTCGTTCCTTTTATAGCTCAGGTGGAGACTCGAATTGTTTTTACTCAAACGCTAATGATACAAGGAGATAGAGGACACGTTTGAAATCTGGAGACATGCCAACTTTACAAATTGGCCGCTATTTGTCGCTGTGTATTGTGGAAAACATAGCTTCCTAACTTCCGCGGACAACATCCCAACATACAAATTTGTAATCCAACATAGTTCAATATCTAACTACCATGTTTTAAGCACTTTTAGCACTACATTTTCATACGAAGGCCTGCATGTATCTTTTATTTATTTATTTAACACTTTATTTAAAGAGGGTAGGCCAATATATATATATATATATATTTGAGACATGGAAATAGCTTACATCTATCTGTAAATATCATATATCAGCAATTTGAGTTGGGAGTTGGAGGCCAGCTAACTTGTTGTCTGGCAGACTAGTAATAGGTTGGACTATCTGTAATAATTGGGTTGAGCCTAATATCTCTACGGTGTAAATGTTATCTGCCAAGCAAGTCGAAGTTCCTGTGCACTACGTTCCTTCCTAGTAGTTTAGTGGTATATTTCTATTATATTGTACCAATATCATATCAAATGTGATTTTGAGCCATGGGAATCTCTTAAAACATCAAAAACTACGTATAAATTTGATAAATTAGATGGGTTTATTAATGTGTTACGGACACCTTTTATATGTGTATCGACAAAAAGAAGTGCAGACACTGATTATTGTCGTATGCCCGATTACGTTTTTAGGATCGACACAACTTCCGGGTTCACCAGCGATCCATTAGAGTCGGCAATCATTTTTTGGTGCCGTGAAAATACCAGAAGTTAGCAATTTTTCTCGGTAGGCTAACGTCCGTAACGCAAACCTTAGTATATATTATTCATAACCACGGCTATAAAAATACGCTATCTAATGAGCACGAAGTATTCAGGCAATCAAAAAGCTGGTATAATTAAAATTAATATCATCAGCCTGTGCCTGTTATGGAGAATATGGAGAATATTAAAAGTGTCGGCTGGTGTCTCGAATGCTCACATTTATATCATGCGACGTATAACAAGAAGACAATACAGACTATGTGATCGAAAAGTACCGCGCTCGCCTTGACTTACTGTGGCGTCATAGAAAATGGCAGTTGATAATTGTAGTCGTTGGTGGTTATTCAACTTAACCGTAGGCGTCGGTTGTTACACTAAATGTACTGTATCGTTTGATACGTTGTACATTTAATGATACACTAGAACGCATTTCATAACTTATTCAAAATATAATCAAATCATTACCTGCCGTTAACACACACAAACATGTAGTATTCATTGCTCGCATTATTTCAGCATTTCCTCTTGTATGTGTCAGTAATAACCTTTAACTCTTATCAACACGACAGAGGTCAAAGTTCACTGAATGCGAAGTATTGTGTCCTCAGTGTGAAATTCCCTACGACTTGACTGACATATAATATTTGTATATTTATAAAAAGCATGGCACTAGGTAATTGAGCAATATGTTTATAGAATACTGTGAAATGGTAGAATATACGTGTGAAATATTTAATTGTACGTACTCTTATTTAATAATACGTTTTATAGGTTAGATATTTTTTTCGAAATATCCACATTGTTGGTATATCAATATGCATATAGAATCATTGTCTGGCGTGTTTCATTCATCCCAAAATAAATTGCCTGTAAATTAAGTGAATAAATTCAATCAATCCATCAATTTAGCCACATAAATGAGCCTATATGCAGGTTACCCTCTAAAACTCTTGTCATAACAAAGAAATCAGTTTCAATCACCTTGCCGAAAGCATGTACATCGCCGTAATGAGTTCAATGTCATTTATGGTGATGATTTGGCAAATTCGGAGTATTATGAATATAATTCACGTTTATGGTATTCATTAAAATAAAGTACTCAAGTTAAAAATACGGAAAACAAGCAAACTGTCACTTACATTTAGAACAGTCTTTTGAATATGGGGTGTTATGACTATTATTTATTATTTATTTCAAGATAAAACTGAGAAAATACATACAGTTTTCATTGTTATTTTTGTATTTGTGCAAAACGTGGTGAGTTGTAATGTACATCATACAGACACTATAACAAAATCTAAACCTAATTAAACTAAACAGCGTCAGTACAGTATAGCTAAAAAAAATATCAAAACCAAAAAGATGTGCCACTGTTTCAACCTGTAATCTGATTTTGTTTTCTTTGGAAATTGAGCAACAAATCTGTCGTTTTTTTATATTGATCAGCTAAATGAAAACAAATCGTACAGCATCAAAAATCTGGATCGAATAGGAATCAAAATGTTTGAAAAATATCACATACATGCTGGAAGCTGAGTCTCGGTCAGTACGGAGGATTCATTTCTTCTGTATATTGATGTTGAAAAATACATGTCTCAAAGAAATATCTAAAACGTTTCACTAAATTAATTTTGATTTTAAATAAATACTGAATCTTGTTGTTTTTGCTTCATTTGTAAGTAGTTAACGATGTATACACATACTTCCTTCACCTTAGGTATTGTATATTATTAGTTTCGCAGTAACTCGGAAAATACAGATAAATCATAATTCCTTCTGACAGTTGATGCAAAGAATGACACATATAAAAAAAGTGTTGTTGACAGCGCATTGATCCCACAATTTCGGAAAGCTCATAGATGATAATCTTGATGAAAAGCGAGAATTTTTTTTTTCAAAAAAGCCCATGATTTAAGTTACACACACACATACATATTTTAAAAGAATAAATACCTTAAAAAGTGATCATAGAAACACTATGATAAAATATGTAATGTAATTCATAGTACTTCCATCTTTGACGTCAGCGTCATCACGAGCACAACGTTAGCTGCATTGCCACTGTGCACTAGTATGACTTCAATTTAATAAAATCCTCTGTTTGTTTGTCTATAGCTATCTATAAGAACAACAATAGTAGTGACATGTCTATATTTTGCCAATTGTTAACTTCGCGTTAGTTAAAAAAGTGCCCACGTGATTACTAAATTTTTAATTATAATCATCTTTAGTTCGTTCATTGTAAGGTTGTCATGTAATTTATAAAGCTATTTATAAAGTTTTCATATTTTATTCAAATGCTTTTTCCCATAACACACTAACAACTTTTCTTATACCGGTACTTTTAATAAATTTCGATTTCTTATCATATCATGAAAAACAAAACGGGCACGTTTAAAGTTCAACAGTGTTACGGGTTTCAAGTAAGGGTATTTCCAATCATTGTCCTATTGTGATTTAATATTTGAAGTTTGCGTATACGTACGTTCTTGAATACACCAGTATTACTCTAAAACACCTGCGACGAAGACTGATTTTGGATTTCGCGATCGCGCCACCAAAGCAACACTCAGACAATGTTCGGCGAATAATATTTGCCGTAATGGCTTGTTCAGTTTTACAAAAAAAAAGAAACTGAAAAATTCTGTAACATGCAAATACGATATTTTAATTGTGGGTTACATAATTGCTGGACCGCGCACTCAAACGTTTATGTGATAGATAGGTAACCAAAATATGTCACATGGTGGTTGCATGATTGGTGTAATCTCCAATTTTTATTTAACAGATAACGTGTTTTCGTGATGTCAGTATTGGCACAAAAATAAAGACCGCACCAAATTCTTGTCTCAGTAGTTGCAGTCGGACTTGAAACTGAAACAGAAAACCATGCTGAACAGTATAGTTATATGCGATTGTTCTCCAATTAGTCCAACAACAGGCACTGACACTAATTCATTCATTAGTGTAGTTGCATTCCAGGTATAGTGTTTTTTTTTTTTTGGTGAAGACATCTTTGCCACCCACACGTTTCCCATTTTAGATCTGTGTCACAATGTAAAGGACAGTTATTGATTCGTCTTTTAAAGTGATTACTCTGTATCCAAATAAATTTAAGATATTTCTACTGCTGTAGCCACGCCCACCTGTTTCCAGATTTCCGACTCTCGCCGAAGTTAAAGTGCGCCATCAAATGCCGAGCACTACACTTGCGTCATTCAACATACTTTTAAACGAAATACATTTTTTCGATTTTTGTTGTTTTTTGTCCTTTTTTTGAGGGAGAGAGAGAGAGTTTCTATAAAGAAATATATTCCGGACCAGCCCATGTTCACATAGGCGGATTTCAGAAGAGAGAGAGACTTCGGGTAAGTGTTTCAAATGATTTGACATTTTTGCGATCCTGAATATCGCTTTACAGAGACCATTCAATTCGTGTCATGAAAGAGGTAGCAATAATTTTGACAGTGACGCGAAAACAAAACCTCGGACAAACATTATATTACGCAGCACTTACACACTGCTAATTGTTTTCATTTTTGCAGTCTAAACGTTTCTGAATTGTTCGCTGATTGGTGTTGAATGTTG